CTCGGACCGCTGGGGCTAAGACTCGTCTGATGAGGCTGTCTTCGACACCTGTGGCCCGCTCTTCTAAGGTCTTACCGATCCTGGACAACAGGACGATCTTCTTGACCTTGCCTTCGTTCTTCTTGTCCACGCTCATTAAATCTAAGAGTCGGTCGAGATTAAGATTGGGGGCGTTGGGTGAGCTGAGAATTCTGGGATCAGTTAAGGAGACCGGTAAGCCATGGGCCTTGAGACATTTGCTTAGACGGGCAATAGCGCTTGAGGATAAGCAGCCGCGTGCACGAGCGACCTCAGCCTCTAGAATCATTCCGATCGAAACACATTCGCCATGGAGAATCGCAGGAGTCAATACGGCTTCGATAGCATGACCGATCGTGTGTCCGAAATTCACCAGATTTCGGAGTCCAGTCTCCTTTTCATCTTTCGTGACCACTTCCGACTTGACGCCCACGGAATCGGCAATGACCTCTAGTAATAATTTCTGTGCTTGAGAGCGACTGGCAAGGTCTCGACCAGGAAATGGGTTGATCGGATCCCGAGGTGGTGGTGATAAGACGGCTGAGCGAATAGAATCAACGTTGGATTCCAATTTTTCAAATTGGGATTCATCCCAGATTGCAGCGGTCTATAATTTAAATCAGGAGATCAGCATAGCCCAATATTGCAGATCAGGGTGGAAGGAGATGTTGAGTTGGCTGCTTACTTTGATCATTTCTGCCATACCATTCACGAATTCTCGTTCGGGTAAGGTTTCCAGATAGGACGCATCGATGAAGATGAAGGATGGCTGCCAAAATGCGCCTACCAAATTCTTGCCGAGTGGGGTATCGATTGCAGTCTAGGAGGCAGTGAAAAATGATATTAAATGGGTAGGCAATCAGAACCGTTTTCTTTTTTCTTTTTTTTTTCTTTTTTTTTTTCTTTTTTTTTTTTCTTTTTTTTTTTTCTTTTTTTTTTTTTTTTTCTTTTTTTTTTTGATGTAAATGCATATGTGAGATCAATGGAATTGAATGACTGACCTTACCCCCAACGGATGAATCGACCATGGCCAAAAGGGTGGTGGGTATCTGACAAAACCTGATCCCACGCATAAACGTAGCACTGACGAAACCGATCAGATCGCCGATCACACCACCGCCTAGAGCTAGAACGACGGTATCCCGGGTGCAACGGTGATCGAGTAGCCAATCCTCGAGGAGGGCCTTCATCTCTCGACACTTGCTCTGTTCGCCGGGTGGAAGGATGTAAGTGAGCAGACGGGCGGACTTGGGCAGCTGGTTCTCGAAAGCAGCTTTGAGTGCGGGCGCATGGCGTGGGGAAACGTTGCTGTCGGTGATGAGGACATAGGTCGAAGACTGTAGTTCGGTGAGGACGGTATGGGCGATATAGGGGGCAAGGTGGTAGCCGAGCCGGATCGAAGGTTTCCCCAGGATCGGGACTGTCTGGAGGTCACAAACCGAATGAGCCATGGATGGTAGATCTGATGAATATTAGGATATTGATGATATGAAACTTGAGCTGGGTTGAGGACGAAGCCGGGTTGGAAGGTGAGGGTGTTCGTATTGGGAGCCGAGGATGAGGTCCGACTGGAATAATTTGAGTATGCTCGGAAGTGTAGGATGGCCACTTAATGCTCGGTGTGTTGGAGTTCCCTGCTAGC